AAATACCAAAAAAACATTTAATTTGATTTAATTAATTTTGCTTTCTTTAAACCTTTTTTAATTGATAAATAAAAGTACAAAATAATAAAGATTTTGTTTAATTTCTTTTCTTTAAGATTTTCCTCTTAAAATTAATAAAAATACATAAAAGAATAATAATAAATTTTAATCTTTTAGAATAGATTTTATTTATTTATTTTCAAATAAATACATGCATTCCATAATTTGTTGATTTTCTTTATTTCATAATTTGTTATAGCTTTGTATATAATCGCGACAATTCGATTTGGTTGTAATATTTGGACTTTGCTATTCTTATGAGATTCATCCCCATTTGTTATAATTGTACCCCCATTCTCGGATACTTTTGTAATAGCTTAGACTTTTAATTCCTGCAATTTATTGCTTTCTACATATTGTATATTAATTAGGCGTGTATGGCAAGATTCAAAAATCAATCGCTAGATGACCTAATACAAGACATAAAAGCATGCAAATTGACAACACAATACACACTTGCACCCCTAGGGTTTCATCCACTTGTTACCTTTAAAATGGCCATGTTATGCATGTTGAGTACTTTGGCAAAATAAAAACAAAACAAAAGGTCATAGTCCCTCGATGACGCTATCTTGGTTGCCTATACAAAAAATGATCTAGTCCCTCAAAAAATTGCTAAAGATACTTAGCACTATTGCTATCATGGTCAATACGATGACCCGCGCATGTCCCGTTTAACATCCAAATACAAGGTTGTTTACCAAATGCAATGGTAAAACAACACTGTCAAAAGGGTTAAAAATGTGTAGGAAAAATAAGCACAACCTAGTTATAGTCTTCCTAACTTTGTTAGGCAATATCCCACGAATAGCCAATGGTAGTAGTTGTTGCATTAAGACATGACAGTCGTGAGATTTTAAGCCAACTAATTTAAGATCTTTAACTGATACAAGCCTCTTGACATTTGATGAGTAACCATGCGGCACTTTGATACTTTGTAAACACTCACAAAAACGTGTTTTCTCTTTTTTAGACAAAGTGTAGCAGGCAGGAGGAAAATATGTCTTGTTACCTATATATTGTGGAGTTAAATCTTCTCGTATACCCATCAAACCCAAATCCAGACGAGCATTAATACCATCTTTTTTCTTGCCTTGAATGTTGAGAAGTGTTCCGATTACACTATCGCATACATTTTTCTCCACGTGCATCACATCAATACAATGTCTTACATCAAGACTAGACCAATATGGAAGATCGAAGAAAATCGATCTCTTTCTCCATACATTTTTCACAGTAGATCGTTTTTGGTACTTTCCAAAGACAACATCAAGTCCCTGTTGTCACTGATAAACTTCTTCTCCAGACAAGGGCTTTGGAGCAAAACCATGCTCTTGTTCCCCATTAAAAGCTTTCCGCAATCTACGATATGGATGATAACATTTTAGAAGTTTTTGATGCCCGAGATAAACGGTCTTCTTTCCTTCTTCAAGCTGATTGTAACAAGTGTCTTTTTCACATATAGGACACGCCTTATTCCCTTTAACTTTATACCCATACAAATTACCATATGCCGGAAAATCGTTGATGGTGCAAAATAACATGGCACGCATATTGAACTGTTCGCCAGAATACGCATAAAAAACATCCGCCCCTTCCTCCCACAACACTCTTAAACCATAAATTAGTGGACTTAGATAAACGTCTATGTCATTTCCTGGTTGTTTTGGGCCTGATATCATCATCGATAACATAATATATTTATGCTTCATGCACAACCTAGGGGATAGGTTGTAAATCATCAGGAGAACAGGCCAAGAACTATGGTTAGTACTCAGATTACAAAACAGATTCATTCCATCAGTAGCAAGTCCAAGTCTAAGGTTTCTCGACTCTTTGCCAAAAATTGTAAACAAAGAATCTATTTTCTTCCATTGCAAAGAATCAGCTACATGACGAATTGGTCCATCATAATTTCTTTCTTCTGCATGCCATCTAAGATTCTTTGCGTCATCTGCATTGGCGGATAATCTCTTGAACCTTGAAATTATTGGTAGGTACCATACCACTTTCGCAGGAGCACCCTTTTTGACCACCTCATCATCAATTGATTCACCATCTTTCTTTTTGTAGCGTGAAGCCTTGCACTTCGGACAATGATTATAGTTTACATACTCTTTTCTGTATAATATGCAATCATTAGGGAATGCATGTATCTTTTCATACTCCAAACCCATCAGACACAATATTTTCTTCGCCTCGTAATAACGGCTTGGCATTACATTACCTTCTGGAAGCATTTCGGTCAACAATTCAAGCAACTCGGTAAAACTTTTGTCAGTCCACCCATTCTTTGCCTTCAGATTAAATAATTTTAACACGGCTGACAGACGTGTAATTTTTTTGCATCCCAGGTACAATGGTTTATCCTTGTCACTGCATATAGTATCATACGTATGTGCCCTCTTAAACGAATCTTGTCCAATTTCACGCATCATGTCTTCTAGACGATCATCCATTTCTACACTAACATCATCTCTTTGGGACACGTTTGTATTTTCTACTAATTCACCGTGCCATATCTATTCTATATAACTTTGACAAATCCCTACACAAATTAGATGATCCATGATTTCTTTCTTACTACGTTTTGGTTCTTTATTTGCACAACGAACACATGGACAGAGAAAAAGCGTAGGAAGACTTTTTTTAGCATTACTTTCAGCAAACTTTAGAAATTCCATCACTCCATGTTTGTACTCGTCACTTAATCGATTAGCTCTCATCCAACTACGATCCATAACTATGTTCATACGGAGGAAGGTCTGACGAACGGTGTGCCCGCGACTGTGCTACTTCACAGAGATTCCGTGATTACAAGTTGCGCTGCTTCACGGAGAAACAAAAATAGAATCAAATTTCAATGGCAAGGTGATAACTCTATTAAGTTTGATAGGTTAAAGATAAACTATGTGTTTCTGAGAGGACCATTAACGCTTTTTTCGGAGGTTTCTAAATAGACAATTTCTCTAATGAAAAAGAATGACTAATTATACACAACATGTACTATATTCTTAACTTTATACAAAATATATACTATTTATAACTAATTAGACTTAATTAACCTCTCTAATAATAATAAATTGTTTAGTAATTAAAAAACATATATGAACAAAGTAATGGATTCATAGTATAATCTTCTAATTATTTTTCTATGTACTTCTAATTTTTTATAATGAATCTCAGTAACAAACAAAGAAACAAGAATATCTTAAAAACTTTTAGAAACTAAAACACCAATGTTTGTCTTTGGAACACAAAAGTTGCTTGACATTAAGATATCAACTTACCCATGACCCTCTTCAACCTAGAAGCCAACATCTTGGAAATAATTCTATATAAACTTTCAACCAATTCCTAGATATACAATGAAGTTGAACAAAATAGAAAGTTTCGTACCGGAATCGTAGTTGGACGGTGGAGGATGTTTCGAAGACGCCGAACGGATAACGAAACGACCGACGAAGGATGTCTTCGTGCAGCCGAAGGCGAGGATACGTGAAACGGGGGAGTGAAGCAGCAGCGAGGAGACGTGAAACAGTAGACCGGCGTGGGCGATACAGGGGCGTAACGACGACGTAGGCGTGAGAGAAGTTAAACAGTGAGGAAATAATCTGCATTTTAGAAATAATCTGCAATATATATATATATATATATATATATATATATATATATATATATATATATATATATATATATATATATATATATATATATATATATATATATATATATATATGTTTTTACATCGGTGCAACCCTCGGCCCGATGTAAGGGTTTGGGCGTTTGATGTTTTTACATCGGTTTTTAGATAGGCCCGATGCAAGGTTCTGGGCTGATGTTTTTTACATTGGTTTACAGAAGGCCCAATGTAAGGGAGTTTTTTACATCGGTTAAAAGTATGCCCCGATGTAAGGGTTTGGGTGTTTGATGCTTTTACATCGGTTTTCAGTATACCCCGATGTAAGGTTTTTAATATATTTTTTATATTACCAATCTGCCCGTGGACTTTTTACATGGGTTTTTAGTAAGCCCCAATGTAATATCTTGCCAGTTTTTTATTTACAATTCTGCAACCTTGTTTCTTATTTATAAAAATGCCACCGTGTTTTTTTCACGAAACCTTTTACATCGGTGGATTACATGGCCCGATGTAATAGATAGCGAAAAATATTTTTTTTCATATTATTTATATCATTGCAAATAAATACCTGATGTAAAATGTTTTTAATTTTATTTTTTACATCATATATTTTGATACCTGATGTAAAAACCTTTTCTCAAATGTCATTTTTTTAGTAGTGATGATAAAAAAAAATGACTTTAGAAGCCAAAAATCAATCTTTACCTTGGATTTGAAGTAAATTCTCATGAAGATAAGAACTAAAACACTTGTACTCTTGTAAAAGTTGTGACAAAAGAAAGGAAAATCATGAAACTATTTAAAATAAAACATGTTTAAGAACTAGACAAATATCAAAATATACAAGTAAAAATGGTGTACCTTTGGATTAAACATTACAACAAGGAAACCAAACTGGATGCAAACATTGCAACAAGGCCAAACTGGATGCAAGCAACTAAGACAAGCAACTAAAACATTGCAGCAAGGCAAACAATGCAACAGGCAGAAATTACAAATAGCAGGCAAACAAAGTACAAACAGCTGGCTAAAAGTACAAAGCATGGTGAACCAAATCACAAGAAAAGGGCTTGTTTCCTAGCCTATCATCATTTTCCAAGAAACTAGGCAAACTTTTCAGAAAAAAGTAGAAAAGCAAACTGCTTTATCATTGAGAGTGAAAGAGAGAAAAGATATCACCTTTTTGTTGGGATTGAACAGTTTGGAAAAATCTGTCACAAGTCACAAAACAAAAGCAAAAAGATATAATACCATCAAACAGCAAGAAGAGAAGGAAAGGTTCAGTTTTTTCAAACATTCAAAGATTGGCAACTCTCTTCAAAAAGTCAAGGCTCCAAAACCTGTTAAAACCATATAACAGTTTCACACAACAAATCACCAAAAAACTGTGAGCAGTTCAAACACATAGCCTAAACTGCACAAATCACCAAAACCTGTGAGCAGTTCAAACACACAGCCTAAACTGCATAACTCACCAACACCTGTTAACAGTTTCAAGCAAAAACCTGCAGTTCCCGAACAAAACAAGCCTACCAAACTGCACAAAACTCCCAAAATCCACAACAATCTCCAAAACACTGCCTAACAGCCTATTAACCAAAATATATCAAACCAAGTTGCAAAATATCCAAGCCAAAACTGTTACAACAAAACTGTAACAAGCCAGCCAAACTAAAACAACAACATTTCAAAAAAAACATATAACGGTTTCACAGTTAAAACCACAAAACCCGTGATCAAACTTCAAAAAACCTGTGCAAACATTGCACAAACCCCTAACTGTTAAAAGTCAAGAAAACTCCCAACCTGCATATCAGTTTCAAACATTCACAACAATCCCAAACCTATTATCAAACTAGCCAAGCCCCAAAAAAGCATAACAGTTTTCAAACAGGGCTAAAACAATCACCAAACCTGCATAATACCCCAAACCTGCAAAAGCCTTCAAACTGCAAACTGCCCATAAAAACAGTTATCAAACCTAAACATTCAAAGGCCTTCAACAACAACAATACAAAACCTTCCCAACATTCCAAACTCAGTTCAAACAACCTTCAACTGTGAAACCAAAGCTAGCATACAAATCTAAAACATACCAACAAAGTTTCAGACATAGCATCAACAATCATCATCAACAACTTACAAAAAGGAGTTTCAGAAAGCAGCAAGCATCATCATTCAAGTGCAAGAGAGAGGAAAGCAAATCAAAGTTTCAGAACAACAATCATTATCAACAAAAACAACAAATCATAACAGAGTTTCAGAACAACCATCATAATCAACAAAAAATACCAACAATCAAAAGTTTCAGAAACCATCATCAACATACTTACAAAAATCAAAGTTTCAGTTTCAATAATCAGTATTCAAAGTGTCAGAAGCGAAGTGTCATCATCATTCAAGAGAGGAAGAACCAAGTTAGAAGTGAAGTGTCATCATCATTCAAGGTTTAAGAACAAAGGAAAGAAGTTACCAAAAAGCGCGCTTGGCCATCATTTTCTCCTCGCACCTCTGGCCACCAAGGAGCACCCAACTCAAATCTCCTTCCTCTCCATTTTCTAGAAAAAAATGCCCAAGGCACGTCTCTCTTCAAATCCTTTCCTACATCTCATGAGGCAATTAAATTGATCAATAACAAGATAAGAACCAGATTAAACAAAAAGAAAACAGAAAACATTCAGATTTCAAAACCCAGAACATCACCTTTTTGAGGAAAGAATCGCTTGAGCATGGTTAGGAAGAGAGTGAGGGTTGCTCCGGCGGCTTGAGGGGAGGGGAAGATCAGTGAGGACGAACGATTGAGTGAGAGAGATGAAGAGAAAACGAAGGGTACGACACCGCTGTGAGCTCAGGTTCACAAACCCCGATTTTCCCAAACTCTAATCAAAATGTTGCAAACCTAGGGCAATTGGGCCAATTCTGGCCCCAAATCAAAGCCCACACGAATTGCTAATGTACCCCCCCCCCCCCCCCCCCAATGTCTGGCTTTGACCTTTTAGTTGGGCCTTAAACTTTCAGCATCTTAAGCCCATCTTTTAATTCAATTTGTTTTCTTTTCTTTTGTTTAATATATACTAATGTTTTTTTAATTAATTCATTTTTTTAAATTTGTTTTAGTTTTTTTAAGATAATTAATTTTCTTCTACTATTTTCTCTCTTTTATATAACCTTTTATTAATTTGTAGCATTTAATAAAATACCAAAAGATTTAGTTTAATTAATTTCCTTTTTTTCTTAATTTATCTTTTTTTTATTTCTTTTGTTAATAATAATACTAATAATATATTAAAACTTTATTTTGGCAAATTACTTTGATTTTCTTAAATTAGTTTTATTTTCTTCTTTTTTTAATTAATCTTGTTTCATTTGATAAAATACCAAAAAAACATTTAATTTGATTTAATTAATTTTGCTTTCTTTAAACCTTTTTTAATTGATAAATAAAAGTACAAAATAATAAAGATTTTGTTTAATTTCTTTTCTTTAAGATTTTCCTCTTAAAATTAATAAAAATACATAAAAGAATAATAATAATTTTTAATCTTTTAGAATAGATTTTATTTATTTATTTTCAAATAAATACATGCATTCCATAATTTATTGATTTTCTTTATTTCATAATTTGTTATAGCTTTGTATTGAATCGCGACAATTCAATTTGGTTGTAATATTTGGACTTTGCTATTCTTATGAGATTCATCCCCATTTGTAATAATTGTACCCCCATTCTTGGATACTTTTGTAATAGCTTAGACTTTTAATTCCCGCAATTTATTGCTTTCTACATACTGTATAGTAATTAGGCGTGTATGGCAAGATTCAAAAATCAATCGCTAGATGACCTAATACAAGACATAAAAGCATGCAAATTGACAATACAATACACAATTGCACCCCTAGGGTTTCATCCACTTGTTACCTTTAAAATGGCCATGTTATGCATGTGAGTACTTTGGCAAAATAAAAACAAAACAAAAGATCATAGTTCCTCGATGACGCTATCTTGGTTGCCTATACAAAAAATGATCTAGTCCCTCAAAGAATTGCTAAAGATACTTAGCACTATTGCTATCATGGTCAATACGATGACCCGCACATGTCCCGTTTAACATCCAAATACAAGGTTGTTTACCAAATGCAATGGTAAAACAACATTGTCGAAAGGGTTAAAAATGTGTAGGAAAAATAAGCACAACCTAGTTATAGTCTTCCTAACGTTGTTAGGCAATATCCCACAAAAAGCCAATGGTAGTAGTTGTTGCATTAAGACATGACAGTCGTGAGATTTTAAGCCAACTAATTTAAGATCTTTAACTGATACAAGCCTCTTGACATTTGATGAGTAACCATACGACACTTTGATACTTTGTAAACACTCACAAAAACTTGTTTTCTCTTTTTTAGACAAAGCGTAGCAGGCAGGAGGCAAATATGTCTTGTTACCTATATATTGTGGAGTTAACTCTTCTCGTATACCCATCAAACCCAAATCCAGACGAGCATTAATACCATCTTTTGTCTTGCCTTGAATGGTGAGAAGTGTTCCGATTACACTATCGCATACATTTTTCTCCACGTGCATCACATCAATACAATGTCTTACATCAAGACTAGACCAATATGGAAGATCGAAGAAAATCGATCTCTTTTTCCATACATTTTTCACAGTAGATCATTTTTGGTACTTTCCAAAGACAACATCAAGTCCCTGTTGTCGCTGATAAACTTCCTCTCCAGACAAGGGCTTTGGAGCAACACCATGCTCTTGTTTCCCATTGAAAGCTTTCCGCAATCTACGATATGGATGATAACATTTTAGAAGTTTTTGATGCCCAAGATAAACTGTCTTCTTTCCTTTTTCAAGCTGATGCTAACAAGTGTCTTTTTCACATATAGGACACGCCTTATGCCCTTTAACTTTATACCCATACAAATTACCATATGCCGAAAAATCGTTGATGGTGCAAAACAACATGGCACGCATATTGAACTGTTCGCCAGAATACGCATAAAAAACATCCACCCCTTCCTCCCACAAAACTCTTAAATCATCATTCAGTGGACTTAGATGAACGTCTATGTCATTTCCTGGTTGTTTTCGGCCTGATATCATCATCGATAACATAATATATTTACGCTTCATGCACAGCCTAGGGGATAGGTTGTAAATCATCAGGAGAACAGGCCAAGAACTATGGTTAGTACTCAGATTACCAAACGGATTCATTCCATCAGTAGCAAGTCCAAGTCTAAGGTTTCTCGACTCTTTGCCAAAATTTGTAAACAAAGAATCTATTTTCTTCCATTGCAAAGAATCAGCTACATGACGAATTGGTCCATCATATTTTCTTTCTTCTGCATGCCATCTAAGATTCTTTGCGTCATCTGCATTGGCGGATAATCTCTTGAACCTTGAAATTATTGGTAGGTACCATACCACTTTCGCAGGAGAACCCTTTTTGACCACCTCATCATCAATTGATTCACCATCTTTCTTTTTGTAGCGTGAAGCCTTACACTTCGGACAATGATTATAGTTTACATACTCTTTTCTGTATAATATGCAATCATTAGGGCATGCATGTATCTTTTCATACTCCAAACCCATCGGACACAATATTTTCTTCGCCTCGTAATAACGACTTGGCATTACATTACCTTCTGGAAGCATTTCGGTCAACAATTCAAGCAACTCGGTAAAACTTTTGTCAGTCCACCCATTCTTTGCCTTCATATTAAATAATTTTAACACGGCTGATAGACGTGTAAATTTTTTGCATCCCGGGTACAATGGTTTATCCTTGTCACTGCATATAGTATCATACGTATGTGCCCTCTTAAACGAATCTTGTCCAATATCACGCATCATGTCTTCTAGACGATCATCCATTCCTACACTAACATCATCTCTTTGGGACACGTTTGTCTTTGCTACTAATTCACCGTGCCATATCCATTCTATATAACTTTGACAAATCCCTACACAAATTAGATGATCCATGATTTCTTTCTTACTACGTTTTGGTTCTTTATTTGCACAATGAACACATGGACAGAGAAAAAGCGTAGGACGACTTTTTTCAGCATTACTTTCAGCAAACTGTAGAAATTCCATCACTCCATGTTCGTACTCGTCACTTAATTGATTAGCTCTCATCCAACTACGATCCATAACTATGTTCATACGGAGGAAGGTCTGACGAACGGTGTGCCCGCGGCTGCGCTACTTCACGGAGATTCCGAGATTACAAGTTGCGCTGCTTCGCGGAGAAAGAAAAATAGAATCAAATTTCAATGGCAAGGTGATAACTCTATTAAGTTTGATAGGTTAAAGATAAACTGTGTGTTTCTGAGAGGACCATTAACGCTTTTTTTGGAGGTTTCTAAATAGACAATTTCTCTAATGAAAAAGAATGACTAATTATACACAACATGTACTATATTCTTAACTTTATACAAAATATATACTATTTATAACTAATTAGACTTAATTAACCTCTCTAATAATAATAAACTGTTTAGTAATTAAAAAACATATATGAACAAAGTAATGGATTCATAGTATAATCTTCTAATTATTTTTCTATGTACTTCTAACTTTTTATAATGAATCTCAGTAACAAAGAAAGAAACAAGAATATCTTAAAAACTTTTAGAAACTAAAACACCAATGTTTGTCTTTGGAACACAAAAGTTTCTTGACATTGAGATATTAACTTACCCATGACCCTCTTCAACCTAGAAGCCAACATCTTGGAAATAATTCTATATAAACTTTCAACCAATTCCTAGATATACAATGAAGTTTAACAAAATAGAAAGTTTCGTACCAGAATCGTAGTTGGACGGCGGAGGATGTTTCGAAGACGGCGAACGGACGGCAAAATGGCCGGCGAAGGATATCTTCGTGCAGCCGGCGGCGAGGAGATATGAAACGGGGGCGTAAAACAGCGGCAAGGAGACGTGAAACGGCGGACCGACGTGGGTGATACAGGGGCGGAACAACGACGTAGGCGTGAGAGAAGTTAAACAGTGAGGAAATAATCTGCATTTAGGAAATAATCTGCAATATATATATATATATATATATATATATATATATATATATATATATATATATATATATATATATATATATATATATATATATATATATATATATATATATATATATATATATATATATGTGTGTGTGTGTGTGTTTACATCGGTGCAACCCTCGGCCCGATGTAAGGGTTTGGGCGTTTGATGTTTTTACATCGGTTTTTAGATAGTCCCGATGCAAGGTTTTGGGCTGATGGTTTTTACATCGATTTACAGAAGGCCCGATGTAAGGGAGTTTTTTACATCGGTTAAAAGTATGCCCCGATGTAAGGGTTTGGGCGTTTGATGCTTTTACATCGGTTTTCAGTATGCCCCGATGTAAGGTTTTTAATATATTTTTTATATTACCAATCTGCCCGTGGACTTTTTACATCAGTTTTTAGTAAGCCCCGGTGTAATATCTTGCCAGTTTGTTTTTTACAATTCTACCACCTTGTTTCTTATTTACAAAAATGCCACTGTGTTTTTTTCACGAAACCTTTTACATCGCTGGATTACATGGCCCGATGTAATAGATAGCGAAAAATATTTTTTTCATATTATTTATATCATTGCAAATAAATACCTGATGTAAAATATTTTTAATTTTATTTTTTACATCATATATTTTGATACCTGATGTAAAAACCTTTTCTCAAATGTCATTTTTTTAGTAGTGATGATAAAAAAAATGACTTTAGAAGCCAACAATCAATCTTTACCTTGGATTTGAAGTAAATTCTCATGAAGATAAGAACTAAAACACTTGTAATCTTGTAAAAGTTGTGACAAAAGAAAGGAAAATCATGAAACTATTTAAAAGAAAACATGTTTAAGAACTAGACAAATATCAAAATATACAAGTAAAAATGGTGTACCTTTGGATTAAAAGGAGTTTATGAATTGGAGTAAAAATGAGCTTTGTATAAGGTGGTAAGTTGGAGAATTGGTGTTTTGGCGTGTGAGAGATAATGATTGTTGTACCCCAAAATTTTCCCTCTCTTTTCTCAAGACACTTCTCATAAAGATCTTTAATAGCTTAAGATTGCACAAGTGTTGACTAGGTCAAATCACCTCTTAAACATTGGAACCCCAAATTAGGGTTTTGATTTTCACAAGGAAAATTAGACTTATAATGCCTCAAAATATTTTCATGGTTCATTATGGGTCTCCAAGAATACTCATGCCAAGTTTTAAGTCTTAGATCACAATTTTGCTCAGTCAATTGATCAGATGACTGAAAATTAGTTGTATTGGTTAAAACGTCAATTATGGTCAACCTATAGTCAAACATCACGACTTTTGGTCCCCATCAGCATTTTTAAGTCATATTTATCCATTGATCAAGTGTTGATCACAATTCCTCAAGAAAAGCACTCAATTCATCAAAAGGGTAAAATGGTCAAGATTAGGGTTTTGATTGTAATTGACTGATCATTGATTTTTAACCTAATACATGATCCAATGGTTTGAAACACAACCTCAAGGATTCAAATACAACATGTTGACCTAATTACATGACTCAAATCATCTCTCAAGATCAACGGATTGTTAGTTGAATTTTGGATCAATTGATGAAAAGTCAAGTGATACACTAAAACTTAAACTCAAACTTTTTTGGTCAAATTTGAGTCTAAAAGATCAAAATTGATCAAGACATTAAAAAATATGAAGCCTGATCATCAATAAATAAGGATAGTCAAAAATAAATTTGAAAATTCAAACTTTTCAAAACTTTGAAATTTTTCTAAGTGTTTTGTACATGATGAATTCATTAATTCATGCCAATTTTTCACCAAGATGCAACATGATTAAAAGAAAACTTTAAACATGAAAGTTGTAGATCTTGATGATATCTATAACTTTTCTTTGCTGATCAAGTCCTAGAAGTGCTTGGATTTTGAGTTACAAATTCATGAAGTCATACACTTTTTCTAAAAACATTTGGTGAAAATTTTGATCAATTTGGTCAGGATTTGGCCCTAACTTCTTGGCCAATTTTCACCTAGCTCCAATTTGATTTAGCCAAAATTGAAAACATGAAAGTTTTAGAGTATTTTTCAAGCTTTCCAAAATATCCAAGAACTTATAGAGATCATTTTTTATCTAAGAGATTCGAAGAGATAAAGATGGCATGATAAACTTAAATTTTAAACCATTTTTATGATAAACTCATAGCAAAATCTCAAAACTATCCTACATAATCCCACTTTTTAGGCCATTTGAATTCTAAATATCACCATGATCAGAAATTTACACAAGTTATAAATGTATTACACATAGATTAGAAGCATTGTCCAAGTCTTGATACCATTTTTGGATAATTTGCATAAAGTCACTTTACCGTTTTGGTAAAGCAAGCTTTATGCTAACAACTCTTTGCTTAAACTTGATATTTACTCCTAATCATATCCTATACAATCTAAATATCAAAAGCAATATTAAGAAGTCAGTAAAAGCATGGCAAATCCCTTGAATCACTCATTTTCTTCATCATGAAGCAACAAAATCTTTGTATTTTCAAAACAAGCCAAAATCTTCAAAACTTCAGAATTGATGTTCTCACTCATTCTAACCTTTTCTCTATAAATAGAGATGCATTTTGCAAGCCAGGGAACAGGATTAGAAGTATGAAAACTCCCTCAAACTCTCTAAAACTCAGGATTGCACTTCAACCTCCATAATTTGTCATTTCTGCCCAAGAACCTCAAAATCACATTTCCCTCGTATGTTTCCTCTCTAAACCAATTTTAAAGCTTCCATATATCCAATATAGTCCATCCCTACCCTTGTTTCACAATTGTAACTCCATTTTCATCACCTTCTAAACTCAAAAACAGAGTTCTGTAACTGGACTTCTCCACCACGATTCAGCCATCCTCAGCACAAACTAAGCATTGCATTAGCTTCCTGGAGGGTCACTGAAGCTATTTTAATCATCACAACACCTTGAGGAGTGCTCAAACTCAGAATATAATTTCCATTTTTGAGGTAAGTTTCCTTAACTTTGAACTCTCTCTACAAGCATCATTATTGGTTCATTTGTGAAGATAAAATGTAGACATCATAGCCCTGAAGCTAACCATGCCCTTATATTTCATTTATATTGCCTGAGTAGTGAAATTTCAAGTTTGAACTTCCTGAAAAAGTTAGGTCATATTTTGGTACCAACTGAAATTATCATTCGTCTTTGATCCATTATTTAATTAATTTACATATTTTGAATTGTGGTGAAATTTATAACAAGTTTGATATTTACAATTTCTGAAATGGTTGAGAAATGAGAAAGTTATAAAGTTCATAAATGGTGATGAAGAAACTGGTGCAAGGAAGAAGAAGATGATACAATCAAGAGCGTGTTTAAAATATAATATGTTAGTTGTGCATAAGTTAACGGATGTATCACCACCCCAGTGGTTAAAGCGCGCGCCTATGACCCTTGTGACCTGGGTTCAAGTCCCACTGCCACATTTTGTTATTTTTCATTACATTTTCTGACCTTTTTTTGTTTGCTAGCGCGTATGGACTCCTCCCTTTTGGGCCTGAATTGTTTCTAAACTTATCACCCCTCCTTTGCTCATGTACATGTAGGCCCAATTTATTTTCATTTTATTTTATGATTTCAAACAAAAAAAAAGTTTAAGCCTTTTTGCTAACTTTCACACCATTTTACTTTCTAACACCTCAACCCAACTATTTTTATTTCTTTTATATTTTATTTATTTTCATTTATATATTTATTTTACTGAAACCAAAAATACAAAAAATATATTTTCTTAAATTACTAAATTATTAAATATTTTAATTTAAACGTTTATTTTATTTTCAAATACTTAGAACTAGTTTTATTTATTTTATACACTTTAAAATACTTTTTTTAAAATTAGTATTAACATTAAATTTATTTTCTAAATAAATTATTTAGACTTAGGTTTTATTTTCTCTTTAAAACTTCAAATAAACTTAGATTTTAGGTCTTGTTAATAATTATTTAATTTCTTTTTACTAGTCTAATTAGGTTACCTATAAAACCTTTTCACACAAAAAACCATAAAAACAATTTTCTTTTTCTTTTACATTATCTTTATGTTCTTGTACATTTTATTTGGTATTATTCAATATGGTTGTAATAGTAATTAGGTTTTAATTGCTTTCATCCCCATTTGTAATATGTATCCCCATCCCCTAAAATGATGTAATAGCATAGAACTTTTAATTTCCGCAATTTATCGCTTTCAATATTATTGCTAGTAATTAGGGTTTGTATGGAAAGACTAAAATCAAACAAGTAGACAACCCTAATTCAAGATAATTTAAATGAAAACAACACACTTTTCACACTTGCACCTCTAGGGTTAACTCACACTTGTTGCCTGAGAATAAAAACAGTCATGTCCCTCGACAGTGGGATACTTTAGCGAAGACCCTCGATTACAAGATCATAGTCCCTCGATGATCCTTCAATGTTACCTTCGGTAAACCATCTTAGAACCTTATGACAAATTGCTAAGGTATCCTACAATCTTGACTTCTATGACTGTACGATGACCCACGCCTGTCCCTTCACATCCAATGATAAGGTTTCTTACCAACTAATGGTAAGATAACATTATCTAAAGGAGGAGGAAAAGAACAAAGACTTTTTGAGTAGGTAGAACGTTCATAATTGCTTGCTCACAAACTTTTCAAACAAAACATCTTTCAAACACATCAACACTTTTCATGAAATATTTTCAAAAGTCAACACTTTGTATACATTCTTATAAAGACGAGAATCATTACAAAGTTCACCTAAACAAAGGAACCTTTCAAAAATACTTTCAAAAACAAAATTACAAGCCTATTTACAAAGAATTTCAAAGTGAGCTAGCAACTAAGAGCCCGTAGATAACTACGGATGAAAAGGGTGCTAACACCTTTCCTTTTCATAATCTACCCTCCGAACTCAAGAAAATTCTCAAAAAGGTC